ACTACTTTAAAAATGTGCTTGCCAGTTGAAGCCCTATTTTTCCTGCTAACTGAAACAGAATGCATTCACTGTCGTTCTCTGAGTACGGGTTTCAATGTTGCTTTAGTTTAGTCCTGTGCAACAGCACCATAATTCTTCAAACAGGTTTTGTATGCAATACACTTTATTTATTGAGATCAAATAATTATACCACAATATTAATTTATTCACGGAGCAGCCGTACATTGGTTACAACAATCATATAACTGACTATGCTGCTTTATGCTAAAAGATGCTTTGAACATTTACAGCTCATACAATAATATTATAGACAGAAACACATTTGTTTAGAAATGCAGATGTTCAGTTTTTATGGTGTATTCTTCTGTAGGCTGCAAATAGAATAAGAAAACAGGAGCCTTGTTTGTGTACAGACTCCAGTGTGTATTCAAAGTTGGCAGTTATCAACTGTTTCTCACTCCAGGCATGAGCCATTCAGCCTGATAAATATATGGCAAGGTAGAGATCCAGTTCTTATTCTCCGCTTATTCCTTACAAGAGGTGCACAAGATCACTCAACAGAGATACACATTTGGACTGGTTAGCTAATAAATGCTCAATTTGTGAGACAGCTTCCTTCAAAAAGCAGTCAAGGACCCATCTCACAACAATGAAAGCAAAGTTCAGTCTGCCTTGTGGCAGATATGTTTTTAGCCATGGGAGCTCCCTGTTACGTACCTGGGATCTATCTGTTGCTGGAGTAAAGAGAAGATAAAGCTCCTTATCTAGCAAAAGTTTGATTCTGTTCTCTTGCCATGGTACAAATGGATTTGTTTCATTCAGTCATTGAAAGGAAATAATGTTTCCCCTTGAAATTATTACCTGTAATTTGAGATCAGCTGGATCTCTAAGTTAATCATGCTTCCTGCTAAGAAACAGCTGTGTCTTTTTCATTGTTGAAATCTTATTTTTGACACTTTTTTTCTATTTAGAAATAGCACCAAATCCAACAGTCAGCACAATGTCTGATCTGAACAGAAGCTGAGAAAGAAACATTCCTCAACATCAATGACAAGATAGGAAAAACTTTTCTATAATGTTTTGCAATAGCTGTATAGTTCGTGTTGCACTATCGATATCTGCATCTCTGTTATCCTAATAAAATAAACACCTTTGTAAAGATGTAAACACAGTTACTTGGTCCTTATATTATATCCATTGAGTCACAAAACTTCAACAGAAATATGGGTCTATGGACAAATACTGAACTAAATAAACAGAAAACAATTGAACAGTTATATATTTCAAAATTTCCTTTCAAGGAAAAATATTTTAGTTAGATACAGAATTCAGATTTTGGGTAATTGATCCAACTCTCCAAATAAATAAATTAGTCATATATACATTATCTAAAATGTTATATTAGCAAAACAATTAAATACTGATGGAGAAAAATTCCATGTTCACAGTCATCATATTCTGTTTTGTGAAAAGTATCTGGTTTCATGCACTTAGACACACTGCTAATACTATTCTAATCAAGAAGAATATCAAATAAATGTTTTAATTAGTAAAAATATTGAATTGCATAAACCAGCAGTCAGACAGCAATGGTGAAAACTTAGGAGACAAAATGCATGCTTTGTGCTATATAGAGCAATGTTTAGAAATCATATGAAACTTATTTTGCCTCATCAAAATGCAGAAGAAAAGCTAATGTTAATTTAATTATATTATGCATATGCTGATCTACAGACTGGAGTCTACAAAACATTCTTACTATACATGTACAAAACTACTGTAAGGGTATCTATACCATACGTACAACAATTAATTACTCCATTTCACCACTGTGATGAATGTATCGTCATCGTCATCATCATTATCATTCACGGGGGAGGAACTGCATCATTTACAAACAAGAGCCACAACCCAACTCTTGCAGTTCATATTCACAGACCTTTGAATTAGTTGAAACTCTTCATCACATTAATCTACGAACACTCAGAAATGTGCTGTCTATCACCATGTTTGAACTTTCTACATATAATGATCCATGTAAGGGCTCTCAGAATTCTGCCGTTGCTACATTTGATTAGTAAATGAAGTTGGGCCACTCTGACTGAAGGTCTGTGGTTGCTGGCCAAATTCATCAATTTGGCCATAATTAGTTTGCTGCCCAAAACTGCCTTCCTGCTGGTTATACCCACCACTCGACCCATAGCTATCTTGATTGTAGCCACCTTGGTTATAGCTGCTGGACTGTTTCTCGAGAGTGTCTTGAGGGTACCTTGTACCTGAAGAATGCCAACCAGTCTCCTTAAAAACAAACCAGATATTTCCTGCCCAGAGAATAAAGTTCAAGAATCCAAAGACCTAAACAAGAAGCATAGCATGACATTAATTTTCATTTGTTTTTTTCTCTTTTTTGATTATTCACATGATTGAAATTCCTCTTAAAAAACCCAACAGACAACTTATTAATTAAATATTTTTTTGTCCAGAGAATTTGTGGTTAAAACAAATATGAATCTAACTGACACTCCTGTTTAAGGTAGAGATAGAAAATATAAATGAACAATAATCAACTGAAAACTGTTCATAGCTTTCTTTTAGTAGGTGAGCTACAAAAGCCTAATTGAAAGAAGAGTTTGATTCTTTGATGTTGCATCTGTGGCTTCTCAGTGTTGTTACCAAAGGCAATGAATAATTTTTTTTCTAAAGTAATGTTTTTGCTGTGCAATAAGAAGAAGATATGGTATTAGCTATCAACAGGCTCAGATGATTAAAAGGTCCTTTTTTCCCCCTCCAGATTCTCTATAATAAACAGAATCTGGAGAAATTTATTTCATATTCATGCCACTAGGATAAATGGATTTGGATTGTTAAATATAGCCAGAATGCTCAATTATTATGCTTTAAAATGGCTCTAGTGGCTTACACTATGTGTGTTTAAAGAGTCAACTGCTTAGACTGTTATATCTTATTATCCTTGCAAGAACCTATGAATTAGGTTAAATATGAAATTCATGGTGGATTCCAGTTGAAGGTAGAGAAAAAGAAATGCTGAGTGATCCCACAGGTGGGGACTAGTCGTTTTATTTCAGAACCCCCCCCCCCCCCCCGCCTTTTCTACGAAATAAAAAGAATACTCACAACTAAAGTATTAAGACTTGACATAACAGGGCTGTACACAGGCAAGCACTTGTTGGCCTGTTGTTTGCAAGCCGACATCAGTAAGAGTACTTCATCTGGGTCAGTGGCAACCTTCACATCAGATAGTCCTTTAGCCCAAGCAGAAGAACCCACAAGCCACATGAATGAAAATACCACTGTCACAATGAAGTCCTACAAAAACCAAATTGAACATTGCAGGTTCATGTTTGATGGGCAGTGAAAAGAATGGAATGACCATTTACATTGGTGCAACATAAACTAATACAAAGGGCCAGAAGAACAGTTCCACTTGGTAGTGTACTCTCAGAATACATGAACCACATGTTTAAAAGTCCACACAACATTGTATCTTCCTACATATGAAAACTTTACATGGGCAATAGTTCCTGGTATGGAAGCTCAATACATGCAAGGCCAGCCCAAACACCAAAATACCTGGTGGGATGACCCAGAGCTTGGACCTAGTTAAATTCTCAGCCAAACAATCTTCAGAGAAAAATGTGTGTTAGCTGTCAGATGGTTACAAACAAACAGTCTCATAACAGATCAGTCAAGACAAGAGACAGGTGGAAACAACCCCTTCCACTCAAAAGAGATTGGCTTCTAGCCTGTACATAACATGGGTGGGGGAAAGAGATAAAAGAATTTGAACTTCAGTATGACTATAAATAGGCCTTGCCTACAATACCCAGCAGTCACTGGATTCGTTTTCCATAATGGTTTCTTTAGCTTTTCTGCCATGAAGCTACTTATTAGAAGTTTTCTGCTCTTGAGTTCATTGGTATCCAGTCTAGCTTGCTAGAAGAAGCCCGACTCCTCCTTAATTTTAGTCAGTGGTGTCCTTTAGCATAGTATGTGGAGCAGCTTCTCCAATCTGGTGCTAGATCTGCTAAGTGTACAACTCTCAGCATTCCCAAGATACTATGGCCAAGATCTCTAGAGCAGTGTTTTCCAACCTTGATAACTTTAAGATTAATGGACTTCAACTCCCAGAATTCCCCAGCCAGC